TTTAAATGGTAAATTAAATGGGTGTATACGATATTTATTTAGGTATATACCCATTTAATATTTTTTTATACTGATTTAAATTGAGTATATACCTAGTTTTTAATTAGGTATATATATCAGATTTAACTTTTATATATATATATATATATATATATATATATATATATATATATATATATATAGTACATATATGTAAACATATATAATTTCAACTAATATGTGGGTATCTTTGATCTTAATTAGTTAATTTTATTTTTAACTATGTACAGTTGAGATATTAAATATACCTCGTGGTGGGTGTATACGATATTTATTTAGGTATATACCCATTTAATATTTTTTATGCTGATTTAAATTGTGTATATACCTAGTTTTTAATTAGGTATATATATATCAGATTTAACTAATATATATATAGTACATATATGTAAACATATATAATTTCAACTAATATGTGGGTATCTTTGATCTTAATTAGTTATTTTTATTTTTTACTATGTACAGTTGAGATATTAAATATACCTAGAATCAGTGCATATACACACCGTAGATTACTGTATATATATAATATAATAGAATATAGGTTAGCGTACGTACGTATTTAGCACGCCCAGATACTATGACAAAGTAGGTTAGCTTTGGTACATATATAGTATCAAAATACTCTCTATATTTTGAGTATGCACGACGTGTAGGTATATAGTTTTAGATTAGGTTGTTTAAGCATACATTAACGTTTCGAGGAAAAAATCGATTATAGTGCATTGCGAGTGGGAGGGTTGTGTGACACCTAGTAAAAGTCAGTAATTTTTACACTAATGCAAACATTACTAACTTGTACTAGAAGTATATGTTAGTCACGTTTAAATTAAATTGGTGTTTCATTCGAATATAGCAAGATATTTTTTAAAAAAATGAATAATATCACCTGGAACTGGATATATATGCTACAAATTTAGATACTTATTCGATACACTAAAGATATCCTGATAGGCTAAATGCCTCGAAGTTACTAGGGCACTGCTCTGTTGTGCCCAAACACCATGATTCTAATATGAGATTATTAAAAATCTATACATATATCATCATCAGATCCTTAAATTTAATCTATGAGTACGAAAAAATGGGTGTCTCATTCGCCTCACGTCGATACAGGATATTTCGTATTGCGCTATAAAGAATATTTCTTGTCTATACATGATTAATTACAATAATTTGAAGAGTTCCTAGCGCAAGCATGCAACTTGACAACTTGTACAAGCATGCTGACTATGCATGCAAGCAAGCTGGTGCTTCTTCTGTGCCAAGCATGCTGTACATCCACGTTGCCGCCGCAACGACGATTGGATGGCAGGCAGGCCAGAAGCCTTCGACCTCCAAGCATGGCGATGATGGCAGGGGGGCATGCTTTGGAACCATGCATGCCGCCAGGCCGGAAGCAGTACGTCGACCTCTGCGGATGATGACGGCAGGCAGAAGCTCGCGGACGACTAGCAGCAGTGACAACAAAGAAGCTCACGAACGTCCAACGGTGCAACGGCGTGGGGGACGAAGGTTGCCGAGGACTGGGTACGGCGGCGAAGAAGCTCGCGGACGAACATCGACAGAGCTCGCGGACGACCGCTGATGGCGACGAAGAAGCGCGCCGACATCTGGTGGCGCAATGGCGTGGCGACGAAACTCGGTATTTAAGAATAGAATACCATCCACAAGTATATTTATATAATGATAGAAAATGAAAACAAATCCATATTGATGGAAATAAAGCAATTACACCGAAATTAGTGGGCTTGATTTTTGTACGATCTCAAAATTTTGGAAACACAATCACGTTCGTACTGATCCTTGGAAAGTACATGCATGCAAACATATATGGAAATTTATGCATGCGAGAATCATGCGGGGATAGCAAAAAGGAAAGGTGATTCAAACCATATCTTGAGTATTTCTTATCGGGTTTAACCCGTTAATAAGTTCTAATCTCATGTTATGAGTAACATGGATCTTAAAGCATCTGGATGGTGGATGGCAATGGAGCCCAGGCACCATGGAGCATAAGACAATTTTAATATATATATATATATATATATATATATATATATATATATATATATATAAATAGGATACCCATATGGGACTCCATGGTGCCCGGGCTCCAAGGTATAAAACACACAAATTCTCTTAAATTTTTAAAAATTTTCAAATTGTGAGTATATACCTAGGTATATGAATTTGATTCATACATATACCTAACAACAAAACAACTCAAACTCAACTTTATTTCACAATTCATTATTACATACCTAATTAACGAATTATATATATATTTGAATGTTATATACCTAGAACCAAAATCTAACAAACAAAAGTTCAAACTCAGTTCAAACTTGTTTGAACTTGTTAGTAAAGAAGTTAATGTTCATATCTAAACATTTAAAAAAATTTCATACTCATTCAAATTGGGTATATACTCAATTTGAATCTTGGAGCCCATACTCCATGTAGCACCAATATATATATATATATATATATATATATATATATAACTACTATACAGCACCCTAAGGTGGTGCTGCGTATTAAACGACACCTGATACAACACCCACCCCGCCCACACACACTCCTCACCAGGTCCACATTGTTCAGTCAAAATTTAACTCACCGACTACTAATCTCAATCCCTATCTTGCGCCCCCACAGCAACCGACACGATATGGATCTTAGTAATTTTTTTTTCTCAAGGGCAAAAACATTGGGACCGGCATCCACCCACCCCTCCCTGTGGTAAGTAATTTTTTTAACTCCACAAAAATATTAATGTCGTGCCTTATAAGGTGGGGGCTATGAAGGAAGGTGATAATAATTTTTTTACTCACGTCCCCACACACCCATGATACGTTCAGTAATTTTTATACCGAATTAAAGTACTAGGACTAGCAAAATGACCGTGCATTGCACCGGCTAATGCCACGTTGGATAATGTTTAACTGAATGATTTTTTAAGCGGTCTAATATGACAATAATAATCACAACGGTTTTTATTTTGTTTGGACAATTATTCCACGTGTACATGTATGATATGAACGATGTTCCTAACATGTTAGCGTAACGATTGTACTATGGGAGGAATAAACAGTGAATGCATTAGGTTACTTTCATGCAAGAATATATGGACATAAATTTGTATGATTAACAAAAAAATCTATATTTAAAATATGTAAGTTTATCATAAAAATAATGATAATCATGACAGATAAGATTACTTTTGCATATTTACTCAATCTCGTAGTGGTGACGCGTGCTTTCTTAAGCTATCAACTCTCGTGTTGCAAGCGTGCGATCCGGTTTCCAAAATCATATGTCGACTCACATGAGGAAGCAAGGCGAGTGGAAGGGAGATGGCTAAGCGGAGCGGAGCGGCGGCAACGTGGCTTAAGCGGCATCGGTGGTGGGCGGGGCTCCATCTCTCCTCCTCCTCCTACGACAGACGGTGAGCAGCACAGAGCGGTCCAAGCGGCAATAGGAATCCACCTCTCCTCCTCCAACCGGCAGCGAACGGAGCGGAGCTCTGGCGGCATGGCCCAAGCGGTGCCCGGGAGTCCACCTCTCCTCCTTCGACCAACGGCGAGTGGAGTGGAGCGGCGGTGTTGTGGCCCAAGCGGTGGGTGGGAGTCCACCTCTCCTCCTCCTCCGACCGACGGACGACGTGTGAACGGGGGGCGGCGGGGCTCGGCGGTGCGTCCACGACAGACGGCGCGACGGGAGTTCTGGCGACACGGCTGATTTGTCGCTGCTATGCTCCGAGGCAGCACGGAACGATGATGACAATGAGGTTAGGTGCTGGATCTATCACCGCCTCTTCCTCCGCCACCAACATCTTCCCTTCTCCGCCCTAGGCCACCGCCATACCATCTTCCCATCCAGGGTTTAACTTACCGCCGGTAACCGCGCGGTTACCGCGGTTACCGGGCTTACCGCGGGGGTACGGTAATATAAATACCGCGGTAACCTCCTTAAATACAAATAAATTTAAAAAATAATTTGAATTTTTGATAAATTTTGCACGGTTTTGTACGGTTTTTCACGGTTACCGCGGTTACCGCGCGGTAACCGTGCTTACCGCCGGGGCGCGGTAACCCCGGCCCCGGCGGTAAGGTAAACCCTGTTCCCATCTTCTCCCTATTCTGCCGCTTCCGCTGTTGCATGGGTGTGGGGGCGTCGCGTGGGGCCACGCCCCCTCCCAATGCGTCGCTTGCCTGATGCTTCGCCCCACGCCTGCCAAATTCTAACGAAGAACGTCTAGCTTCATTTGGCTCCGTGGTTTTCAGTTGGAAACAACGGGCGTGTGCGTGGTGATGAATCTTTAACGTGGCTGCTCGGGACAGAACGCGACATCTGTGCACTGTGAACGCCTAATAGCTGCAATATGCAGCTCAAGCGAGGATTCAGATTGGGTGCAGCTCTCATTGCAACTGCTCCTGACGACTGCAGCCGTGTTTTTGTTCCTTTTAAAAAACAATCTAAGTATTCGGATACACATTGAAGTATCAAACGTAGATTAATAATAAAACAAATTACAGATTCCGCATGTAAACTACAAGACGAATCTATTAAGCCTAATTAATCCGTTATTATAGCAAATATTTACTATAGCACCACATTATCAAATCATGATGTAATTAGACTCAAAAGATTAGTTTCGCAATTTACATGTAAAATGTGCAATTGGTTTTTTCATCCACATTTAATGCTCTATACATGTATCAAATATTTGATGTGATGGAATTTTTAGAAGTTTAAAGAAAACTAAATACAGCCTGCATGAATTTTCATCAATGGTCCAGATTGATCAATCGCTATAGCTTTCTCCATACTCCATACATTACCCTGAATATTATTTTATGGTACAATACTTTTGCTACAGTGCTTTGCAACCCGTCGTCCTTATCCATCCACCAGAGCAGCATCCTCCTAATCCACCCACAGAGCAACCGGTATGTTCTCTTCCCCCTCTCCCTCAGTCTGTCCGTCCTCCTCCCCTCCCAAGCTCGCCCCTCCTCCTCCTCCTCCTCCTCGATCCGCTTCGACGCTCCACTCAGGCACTCACCTCCCCCCGTGCGACGACCTCCTCTACTGCTGCCGCTGCGGGCGCTTCTCTCCGAGCCTGAGCGGAAGGTGGAGATGAAGATGGTGGGCGAATCGGAGGGGGGGGGGGGGGGGCGCTCCGGTCGGCCACCAGCTCAACCCCGTCCACCTCTCCTTGTGGCGGCGGCCCCCTTTGCCGGCAGCGGCGACGACCTCCTCTCCATCCCCCTCTTCCAGTGTTGGGCCGGCACAGGAGCATGCGGCGGTTGGAGCGGGTGCTGCAGCGGCGAACACGACGGCGACGAGAGCTGTCGTGGGTGGCGGTGGTGGGCTCGCTGAGGCTCCTCCATCCCCCTCCTTTTTTTGTGCAGTTTTTTCTCCTTTTTGATTTTGATTTTCCCCTTTGTTGTGATTGAATCTGTGATGAATCGGTTGCCCGACAAGGCGAGTCTGTGATGAATAGGCTGCGAATCTGTGGGTTGTTTATTGGGTTGATCTTTTTTTTCCTCTTTTTTATTTACTCTTTTCTTGTGATTGAATTTGTGATGAATTGGCTGCCCGATGAGGTGAATTTGAGACGAATCGGCTGGGAATCCATGCGTGTTTTATTGGATTTCAATTTTGATTTTGTTGTTTACTTTAGGCTTTTTCCCCTTCAATTTCGTTTATTTTTTTCTCTAGTTTTACTGTTTCCAATCTTAAATATTGAAGTGCCTCATCTATCTTAATTTGGGCTTGTGGGCTTAATGTGGCAAACTGAAGTAGGAATCGGTGTGGGGTATTTTTTGTGCGTGATACTTGTGTGCGGTGGGAAGAAATCGGATAACGCGGGACGAAAAATCGCTGGTGAAAAGGATGTGACGACAGGAAAAATCCGAATATTTATGTTAGGTATAGATATAGATATATACCGTCAATAACCATTCATCCCGCTTCCTCTCATCCTCACCCTGATTTTTCGGATCATGAGCAGCCTCGGCGATTTCCGGTAGTGGCCTGGTGGTCGTCGGTAGGGACGCCATCCTCCGTCCCCCGGAAGAGAAGGAGGATTAAGTGATGTCGTCGGCTTTCTTTCGTCCCACAACCTTTTTTCAAGGCAGTTGGGGATCTGAAATTGAATCCAATCACTTCTTCATAGCCGGTGAAGGAGGGGTGGCGGAGGCCATCCATATGCTGCAACATATCCAGCGGCCATCCATATGCTGGGAGCCACAGCGTCGCCTGTGGTGGGAGAGGACGCCACATATCAGATCCAGCACGGTACCGATCTTCCTCGTGTTTTTTTTCTTTTTTTGCGGAGTAGCTTCCTGTTGCATCTGGTGGCGTGTTAATGGCCGGCACATCTCACTGTCTCAGCGCGATAAGTTTGCAGCTTAAAAGATATGTGATCATTATGATTTAATCTACATTTGCCGATGCGGCCGGCGCCGGGTTTCCTACTCGCCACCGTAGAGCCGTCCTCCCCTTCATGCTCTGCCGACGACCACCACGATGGTTGTGTTGTCATGATTTATTTACAGCCCATGAGGCAAAAAAACAGGAGAAACATGGAAGTCATTTGATATTTGATTGCACATTGGGGCTTGATCCTTGCATTGTGCTTGGTGAGATTGAATTTTGTTCTTTTCACTTAATTGCACGCTGCTAAAAATACCGTAGATAAAAGTAAGACTATTTTGAACACATTGAACGATGGCATTTTAACTTTTTTACGGGAACTATTATCAGTATGAACTTAGTTTCTTATGGTTCCTTGTTTCAGGATATCGGCAGGCACTACTGGTGAGTGTCTAGATCGTAAATGAAATTCTACTACTGCAAAGCACATAGCAATCTAGTGAAGTTGTATCCCAGTTACATCTTAGACGTTCCTCTGACTGAACCCGCTGCAAGCTTCACACGAGATTCTGCACCGGCAAGTGGTGATGCCGCCGGCGTTGATTTGGCTGTGCTATAGCTAAACAATAATTATTCATTGTGATTATCCATGAGAGTATGGATGTGTAATTTTTCGTTTGTAGTCAGTGTTGCTGATGTAACAATCATCAGTAAAAAGATAATCTATTGATTGATATTACCTATGTAACCTTTTATCTGAGGAGATATTTTGAAGATTGAATGTGTAATATGTATAGTAAAAAAATTACTATCCACGTACTATGATGAGTGATTTTTTTACTATCATAATTTATTCCAATGTCGAAGAAAAATATTAGTATTTAAAATAAACTTATTAGTAAATAAATTACTGTGAAAATAACTATGGAACTGGCAGAAAAGTATAGTGTACGGGCCTCATTGAGATTACCATTGCGGTCAATAAATTTTTTACTATTGGCATAGTGGGTTATAAGTGGTTAGTGATTTTTTTACTACTGGGCAAGCGAAAGGCCAGGAGTTATTTTTTTATTCGCTCCTAGCAGTATAGGCCATGGGTAGGGGAGCATGCGTGGAAAAAACAAGAAACGAAAAAAATCATAGAGGAGAAAGGTAGGGAAAAACGAAAATCACGGATAGAGTGCTCCCTGTGAGGAGAGCGCGGTGGGAGCTATTGTTTTATGCAAACTGGAGAAGCGAAGGTGGGAGGGGCGCCCGTGAGAGAAACGGAAAATCAGAAGCGATGTGGGCGTCAAATAAAGAGAAAAAGCAGGAGGGGCCGCTGTTGTGAGTCGCGCTAACAGTTGGTAGCGCGTGTGATATATATATATATATATATTTTAACTGGTGCTACATGGAGTATGGGCTCCAAGATTCAAATTGAGTATATACCAATTTGAATAAGTATGATTTTTTTTAAATGTTTAGATATGAACATTAACTTCTTTACTAACAAGTTCAAACAAGTTTAAACTGAGTTTGAACTTTTTTTTTTGGTTAGATTTTGGTTTTAGGTATATAACATCGAAACATATAATTCGTTAGGTATGTAATAATGAATTGTGAAATAGAGTTGAGTTTGAGTTGTTTTGTTGTTAGGTATTTGTATGAATCAAATTCATATACCTAGATATCTACTTACAATTTGTGTTTTTTATACCTTGGAGCCCGGGCACCATGAAGTCCCATATGGGTATCATATATATATATATATATATATATATATATAAGCATGACGTTGAAAAAAAAATGTAGCCATGCCCTCTCCTAATCAATAAAAGAAGGATTTTTGGGAGAAGAAAGTAAGCACAAAGGAGAAGCATTTTTTCTTTAATTTTCCTCATTTACCATTTTCATCATATACCACACACACATTGCACGATCTTGATCTTGAGTATGTTTAGTTATCTGCTTTATTCTGAGTTTTTGACTTAGTAATAAATATGAATGCAAGTATGCCATGTTTGATCCCTACCGAGCTTCACATATCAAAACCTTAGAGTAGGAATCAAAAAGGCAAATTGGTGAGGAATTCATTTTGATACACTTGGAGAGACTGAGTAAATCAATTGAGGAACTTGGCTTTCTTTTGCAAAATCATTTGAAAACTTCCGGAATAAGAGTTGAATAAAGATTGGGTGATTGGTGCTATAACTGATGTTCTGTCTTTCAACCGCCCACGGCAAGGAGAAACAGTGTCTCATGGGAATCAGGGATAAGGGTAAGCCATCGTGCCAAAGATTATTTAATCTGAGAGAGAGTACATATACCTTGCACCTGTATCTTTGAGATATGCAGCAGTAGCAACTCCTGATCAATAACCAAGTCTTTGTTTCCTTTCATCCTTCACTCGGGACAAGCAAAGGTTCAAGCTTGGGGGGTTTCGTTGATGGTCGTTATTGATCAGTTTCAACCGTCAATATTACCAAAATACAGGAGAACTAGTGATGCTTACAATGCATATATCTGTTAGAATAATAATATTCCACTAGTATTAGGCATACTAACCTTTTGCCGAGAATGACAATAAAGTGGAGGAGAATCGACATCAACATAGACGATAAATCAATCGGACGATGTCGAGAACCAGACTTATGTATGAATGGGCCAAGAACTCAGAAATGACACAATACACTGGGCCAAAATTCACAAGTCTACGGAGAGGAACACCAGAGGAGGCCACCAACCAACTTGTGGGCTGGTTGGGCCAGCCCAGGGTTCGGCTGAACTAATCCCAGCGCCGATGGATGCAGGGTATTGAGGGAACGGTCGAGATTCACTCCCTATGGCGGTTGGAGGGTATTACCGACCTTTACAACCGCCATAACCATCATTATCTACCTATTTAAGGAGTTTACTCTCTTGACTTTAACACACACCTCAAGTAAGAGCTCCCTCATTTCTGTCAACTTTAGTTTAGTAGTATCTAGCTGGTGGAATAGGAATGGAGTAGAAATCAGGAGTCCTTGTCATGACCGGAAATAACCCAACGGGCGTTCCTTACGTGTGTGTATTATTCCTTGTCCCAGGAGGCAAGGTACACCAAAAGTTGATACATTTCAGAGTTTATCAAGCGGAAGCGTAAATAGTTACTTTATTACATGGGCGGCGAAGGCCCAGCACACACAAAGACAAACGGGAAACAACGGAAGACTAGGGCGACGACCACAGGCGCTTGACGACAGGCACGAGCTAGACACCAAAGCCTTCATCTTTCAGGAACTCCTCTTCTGGGTTTGGGAAAAATTGAGCAAGACTGAGTACAACTACCGTACTCAACAAGACACACCCACGAGTGCAGAATAAATGCAAGGGAGTACAAGGGAGCCATAATATAGGGGTTAGGGTTTGCAGTAAACAGCATTAAAAGACACTTAGTTGCTCAAAGCTATTTTGTAAATACGATCCTAGAGCTATACAATATTATTAATCAAGGCCGTGAACCCACACGAACCTGCCTTAACCCAAGGCCTATGATGATTCAGACCGAACTGGCAACCTGACCCTGGGTCCCAGCTCGTCCCAAGCCAACCCAGGCCAACCATTCCACATTTTAGTCGTTAAGCAGGTTTTAAGAATTTAAAACACTAACTTGGGTACATTGCTCGGCTTGCCCATAACCGAGGGCGCGGCTATTCGGATAGGTTATACTCTGATCAGAGGTTTACATCTTTACCCACAAGACACATCTTTCTCACGTGTAACCACGTGCCACATACCACCACGGTATACGGACGGAAGACGTGACATAGTTTCCAACCCATCCTAGCCATAGACAAGAGTACCGACCCAACCCCACCTACGGCCGGAACCCCCGGGACAGGTAGGCAGGACTGAGCCCCTAGCAGCAGGACACCGGCCCTGTGCCATGACATCTCGACTACCGGGCCACAGCTCGTGTAGCCTTCATTTGCCCTAGAGATGTCCATCGACCCCCGACTTCGTCCATCTCCATCCGTGTACTTTTGTTTATAACCAGACTGAGCCACAAACTAAGCCTTACCCACTAGACATGTGGAAGTACGGCAGTGCTTTGCAACAGAGGCCCGAAGACCGGTCCTTATATGGCCGAGGTGCTACTATCAAAACCATGCACCCCGAGCCCCGCCGAAAACCATTTTGAGGGTTTTGAATAGAGGGGGAGGTGTGAATCCAATTCCACAATAATCCAACCATTCCATAGTGTCCAGGTGATAAGAGTATTCCCAAAGTCTAGAGTTGTAAAACCACCTAATGTCGCCTAATTAACCAGCGAAGCATCTACCTAAAATCATACTAGTGGTACCATGAGTAGAGTGTCCACTAGTTGGGGTTTTGTTTATTCTAGGGTGAACAAGGAAATAATAACAATAACAATAATAAGGTCATAACAAAGGTAAATAGGCATGGCTAGATAAAACAGTGATAACGCGGGAATTTAAATAAAGCGATAATGCAATAATTTAAATCAAAATAATTTTATAAACTGGGATTCAATATGTTCAAGGATGATATGACTTGCCTTGCTCACTTTCCGAAACGTCGGCTTCAACCTCCACGAAGAGCGGATCTTCCGAAGCTACAACGTCTACACGACCAACGGAAAATAAAAGGGCTTTTACTCTAATAAACTCCATATAACAAGCAGGAACAAAGCACAAAAATGGGTTCTTGACTTCTTAAGGAAAAATTAGAGATTTGAACGGTCCAATTCCGAGTTCAAATGGCCAAGTTATGGCCATTTGAAATTTATATGCTCTTTAAATGAATATTTGCGAATTTCTTCATTTAAATTTTAATTTAAAAAGGGTTTATTGCTTCAGCCGAGGGGAAGGGGGCGCGCGGACCGGGTCCACGGGAGTGGGGCCCACGCGGCAGCCTCACGGTCCTCGGTGGACCGGGCGCACCCGGGCTCGCACCGGCCGGCGCCGTGGGCCCCACGCGTCAGCTGCACCCGAGGGCGCGGGCGGCTGACGGCCGGGCCCCACGCGGCGGCCACTCGGCGCGCCCGAAGGCGGCCACTCGGCGCGGCCGGCGGGAGGCGGCGCCCGCGCCCCTATGGTCGCCGGCGGCGGCCATAGGCACGGTGGAGCGGCGGCCGAGAGAGGGGAAGGGGAGGGGGAAAGAGGCGGCGGTCCACGGCTCACCCTAGGTGGACGGCGACGACGAAAAAGGCGGCCGGAGCGGGGGAAGGCGGCGGCGCGGCTCGGGTCGACGGGGTCGACGGCGGTCCGGCGGTCGGCGACCGAAACGGAGAGGTGGACGAGGTCGGCGAGGATGCGACGAAGCCGACGAAGGCGGCGCCGAGGTGGGAGGCGATCCGGGGCGACGACGGCGGCGGACCGGAGCTCGGCGGCGACGGCGGAGAGAGAGAGCGACGTCGCGTGCTCGAATCCGGCTAGGAGGAAGGGCGGCGAGAGGCGGAAACGGGCGAGGGAGGCGCGGGGAGGGTTTAAATAGGGTTGGAAGGGGGAGAGAGCGGCCGGAGGGGAAGGAAACCGGCGCGGGAGGTCCGGCCGCCATCAATGGCGCCGGCGAGATTTTCGGGAGCAAATCCGCCCGTTTGAACGCGAGAGAGAGAGAGAGAGGGAAAAATGGGGGGAAAGGGAGAGGGGATCACGGGGAGTGATTCCCCCCACTTTATTGCACGTGGGGACGGCGGGAGGCGGCGGGATTCGCTGCGGCGGCGGCGCTAGGGTGCGGGGGAGGTGGCGGGAGCGGCGGGAGGAAGGGGATGACAGGTGGGCCCCACCCGTCAGCGAGGTCATTTTAATTGTTTGACTTTTACTTTGCACATTTTAATT